CTTATTCAATATGCACCATTTACTTTGCCATTAGATGATATTGCATTGGAAGAGTATGGTTGTTGTTGTTTTGGTTTTGAGGTCTGTTAACCTCCTTTTCTTGCAAGAATCTCAGCCAGCTTTTAGACTTCATGAGAATTAAGTCCAGGTCTTAGTAATTTCCTAGGTCGGCTGAGTGTGGTTGGCTATGTATGTGGCCACGGGTTCTGCCAAGGTTTGTTCTTGATTTTGTGATTTCGTATGGAACTGTCATGAGAGGCATGTTGTTTTGGTTGGCTGGTTGAAGGAATTTAGTGTGAATCATGCTGCTGTTTAACCAGTAGTTTAGTAAGAGTCATTTTAGGTGGGATGATTGAGGCTTGTAGTTTTTTTTCTCTGTTGTTTTGCTCTGATGAGGTGAAGAGAGGTTTGTTACCATGGTTTGTTGAAGTTCATGACAGGTTGGATTTTCAAGCCTTGTTGACATCCTAAAGTCTGTTGGCATTGGTTCTGTTGGTGGGTTTATCATTTGGGGATTCAGCTTTGCATTTGATTTTTTGGAATTCACTAAAATATAACTCAAGTCTAGGCTAAGGTATTTGTTTGTGGAACTTTTGCTTTTACCTTGTGGGCTGTGAAACCAATTTTGAGTAGGTTGTTTTGTCATTTTGATGCCAGCTCATTATCTTGAGGAGTGGATCAATCTCTGTTGGCATATATGGCTGCATTTTCTAGTTGTGGTGGTGATTTGTTTTGAGTGCATGACTATTTGGAACTTTGGATTGAGATGTGGTTGTTGTCATTATGCATTGCTCTAACATTGTAATACTGCATAATCTTTTTAAAACTATTTCATTGAATTGCAACGTGGAAGCCGTTTTGTGATTCAGTGAAGATTTGAGCTCAGCTCCTTGAGCACAATCATAAGTAAGATATTTGAAACTTGTGCAGACCTTTGTTGGATTTTAAACTCATCAGTTTTGGTTTCCAAAGTGCATTTTAAGCTTCACATTGCAGGAGCATTCGAATTTGTTTTTGTATGCATTATTTGGGAAAACTAACAGCACCATCATGTTCCTTGTGAAAAATTGGGTGAGATGGACTTTTGTTTCATTGAATTTGGTGGAGTTTTGAGAGAGTTATGACGAAACCGTATTTCATGAGTTTTCACATGTTTGGCCTTTGATTCTTGCCCAGCCCAGTTAGCATGTTTGGCTTATATTTAATTGGGGTGGTTTGATATACAGATGTATTGCCACCCCAGTGGTTAAATGCCTTGCCCTTTCACCACCATGTCCTCTGTTCGAACCCTAGTGGGGGCGTTTTGATTTTTATTTTCATATTTTCCTTGTTTTCCTTTTTTAACCTTCATTTTCCATATTTTTCACATGCGTGAGGGTGGCATGTTGGTTGTGTGTTGGGTTTCCAATCCTAAGGTTAGGGGTTTAATTCCCGGTGTGAGTCTTTATTTTTTTTAGCACTTGTTTCCTTTTTTCTTATTTTACTTTATTTCTTTTTCTATTTTATTTGTTTTAAATATTATTAAAAAAACCAAAAAAATATTTTCTTTTATTTTATGGTGTTATTTTTTATTCTCCCTTTTTTTATTTATTTATTATTATCTTATTATTATTTCATTTTGTTTTCCATTTTTATTTTATCATTTTATTTTGAATCCATCAATTTCATTTCTTTTCTTTTTCATCTGTGATTGTTTTATTTAGTGTTTACTTGGCATTTGGCCATGATCCCCCTAGGATTCCTAGTCCCTCCGTTTAGGATGGGAGTAGGAGAGACATTAGGTGTTCAATCCTTTGCATGACAACAATAAGATAGTTGCATTCCCTTTCATCCCGACTTTAGGAGCATTGTGCATGATAACTTTAGGGTCCAGTTTCCCCTTAGTTTGAGTCTTTCTCTTTTCATCTCCTAAACATTTCAAAACACCTAATAAATAAAGATTTGTGTCGTACGCTACGAGCCTTAAGTACTCGAGGAATGATGGTTGGGGGGCCTCCTCTCAATTGTCTAGAGTGTTTAGCATATGCCCTTTGGGCGATATACGACACATTCGCTCTCGAGTCATAGTCTTTAGTGCGACATGAGTTTCAAACCATAACTTAATCCACTTCTTGTCTTAAAAAACACAAAACAAAACATCAAATCTTTTTTATCCTTCGGGATCTTAATTGGAAAACCATTTTCAGAAAGAGTTTTGTTAAATTTGATTCTACCGCAAACAGGCATCGTCCCTAACTGTTGGAATCACTGTTTAACCCTACTCGGTTTAAAACGCTTGAACCAATATGTGGTCGTGTTAGCCCGAACTACGTTTGCTTTGATTTCTCGTACCAGACGAGGATACGTAGGCACAGGACGCGATGTCTTGGCGAGCAACCTCCCCCCACTTTCACCCGTAGTTAGCCGAACTACATTGACTCTGACTTCTCACTTCAGATGAGATACGTAGGCACAAAGCGCTGTTGCTTTGCCGAGTCACTTTCTTTTTCTTTTTTCCTCAAGCCTGTAGTTAGATAGATTTACACCCTTTTAGACTAGACAACAAGCGTGGATCCCGTCGAGTACGACGGACGTGGGGGGTGTTAATACCTTCCCCTTGCGTAACCGACTCCCGAACCCGAGATTTGGTTGCGATGACCGATCTTATCCCTCTTTTCGTTAGGTTTTCTCTGAGCGTTTCCTTTCCCTCTCTTGGGATAAATAACGCATGGTGGCGACTCTTCTGTCATTGCCTGTCTTCGATTTTCGCAGTAGCGACAATTATGTATTTCGACCTTTTCACTATAATGTTTTAAATGTGATTGAGATATTTCATAAAGTTACATGAGATACTATCAGTTAGATTCAAATAAATAAAAACCTGCATAAATATTTATCTTAATATGCATTTGAATATATTTTTTTCTTGTGAAATTTAAATTCGATAAGATTATACTTTTTCTTATACCCGTGCGGACGCACGGGTCTTCTACTAGTACATGGTTATAGGAAAAGGGTTGATGAAATTAATATAGATGAATATAGTTCTTAAAAACATGTACGAAACTATGTTCCAACAACCATGTTGTCTAAGAAATTCTGCATCAAAGTAGCTATCCAAACTATATCGAGACTTATTTGGAAAATACAATAAAATTATTTGAAAATTTCTTAATGCATCTTTTGTTTTTTAGCTACCATACAAAAATACTTAAATACTTTTAGATTTTAGAAATGTATTTCTGGACACATTAAATTCTGATTGAACGTTAGAATATTTCAGAGATGCATATCTGATTATTTTACGTAGATGTATCTCTGTAATCTATCATAATAGAACTCCTTGTGTTATGTTTTGTTTACGTGTATTCAGATGCATATTTAAACCATATAATCAAAATGTAGAAAAATGAAGTACATAAATCCAGACCGTCCAAAAATGTTATATATAAATAAAAGTTCAATAAATGTCAAATTAGTTTAGAACAATGATAAAGTAGAATGATAAAGTAGCATGATGTCAAAATAAAAAACAATCCATAATATTACTATATACTAATGCACTATTGTGTATGTATGACTACACCTCCTATGCCTTTCCGACCATCAATCTCCCCCGTCCTCCGGCGCTGTCTCTAATACATCAATGTCCCCCCATATCTCTATCATGATGGCATCTAGGACATGCCTCACATCAGACCCGTCAAGAAAGATACATGTGTCAATGCTTGTCTGTGTAATCTCTACTATGCGACAACATCTAGGCGAGACATCCTCAACATGATCTAACTGTGACTGCTCCTCCTCTAGTATCTCCTGATGAGATAACCTCGACGTAATTTCAGTCACTCATAGCTATGGTACTTCGTACCTCATCTAGTACTAGATGACTCTCATAATCATCAAACATGTCATCTATCTGTCTACATGCACTACAAGAAAATTTGCAAATTGCGACGGTTCATTTTGATACATTACAACGGTTTTAACCGTCGCAATTTGTAAGTTACGACGGTTTCAATCCCGTCGCGGAAACGTGTGTCGCGAGACCATATTGCGACGGTTGTGAAAACTGTCGTACAAATCGTCGTTATTTTCACGACGGGTAGCTAACTGTCGTAATCTCCATATTGTGACGGTTTTCAACCGTCTTAACTTGCTTAATGATTTTTGTTTTTATTGTTGTTTGTGAAAGTATATTATGGGGGTTTGAACCGCCGCAAGTTGCAAATAATTTTTTAAAAAACTATGGTATATTGTGGCGGTTTGAACCCCCACAAATTGCAAATATTTAAAAAAAAAAAAAAAACTGCACTCATTTAGGATTCATAATACAGCTATTGTAGGTTACATTAATGGCAGTGACCTCAATAGGTAAATTTGTGAGAATCTTTCGAATCTTTAAAACATCTCCAGTGACCTTAATAGGTATATCATCTGCTATATCTCCTTCCAATGTTAACATTTTCTACAATGATGTTGCAGCTGTCTGGAGTACATCAATAATTGCTTGTTGTAAGACTTTAACTCCCATCAGCAAGTTCATCAAACTCTGAGAGGACTTATCACCTTTATCTTTGACTGAATCTACCAACTGTGTTGATTCGATTTCCTGCAGCATTTGTGTAACGCGTTCAAAAGACTTGACAAAAGAATCGTCCATTTTTCTGTTTTTCGTTGCTGCAGTTACTGCTTGAAGTAGAAACCTTGCTTCTGTAATTTTGTTCATTTTCATTAAACATATGGCCAAATTGCACTATTTGTTCCTATCAACCTCAAAGGAAAGTACTTTTCTGGAAGACACAAATAAGGAACTTTTATTACTTCTCTCTAAAGAAACACAAAAATCAAAAATGCATTTCGATTCCATCAAATAAAAGACTCGCCTATAATGTTGTTCAGCGGTTTTATAGTTGCCTTTTTGCAAATAAGCCCAAGCCAAGTTGCCAATTATCCTCGATATCTCTTGCTCAGCGGTTATTTGAATTTTTTTCCCTTGAGATCTTGCTTGTTTTGTCGACCTTCCGACAAATGTCATATCGTCTTCAATTTGCTTCAACTTGTGATGAAGCATGTCAATCTCTTCATCAACTCTTCCTGACCTCTATAACAACATATACAAAATTGAGTTACAGACATCATAGCAAAAATTGAGTTATGACAGAATAATATGAAGAAACTAAGAGACTTGTCTGAATCCTTATACCTTATACAATTCAACCAAGATGTTGTCAAGAGATTCCTGAGAATCAGAAGGGCAGAGATGGCGGAAAGACTTGATTGCTTCGATTGCCTCGTCGGACCGGTTCAATTGCTTCATAACTAAAGCCATGTCCTTCAAAGCACTCTCCACGCGATCACCCGCATTAATGGCAGCCCAGAAAAGGGAAATAGCTCTACCTGGATCTTTTTCCACTAACTGTAATCAAACAATTCAGATTCCTAATCATTGAACAAAATACCTACAAAAACAGGTGGAGCATCACCATCAGCGTCCTCTTTCCAGAACTTGACTTTTCGGAAAAACGTTTCAGCGCTTCCCTTTTGTACTTCACCACGTTCTGCATTCAAGGGAGTGAAAATTAGTGATGAGTTTTGAGAATGATGAAAAATGGAGAATGGTGAGAAATGAAATTGGGAATGAACAGAGACAGTCGAGGAAGACGATGTTGTCGCCTCTTTGGAAAAGGACGAAGAACTGAGAAATCATGTTTTGTTGTTGTGTTTCTTTCTTTGCTTCTTTGATTCTTCTACTCAACGCATTATCTTCACCCTTGGCAGTTGGACAAGTTGCCAAAGGACAATGCTCACCAGCAGTTCCCCACCAATTCAGACTCATATTTTCCAATCCTAATGCAAAGTAAAGCAGTACAGCCATACAAGCCACCCCTGCATCAAGTGCTGCAGAAAAACATAGTTGTATCTCTGCCACCATTTCTACATTAGATAATATATAAGAAAAGTAGTACAGATATACGTTTTTGACAGATTCTAGCAGCCACCATGCTACACAAATGTTGATAGTTCCAGCAAGCATTGTCCTAATGAACTAAATAATTTTTAACGCAACAAATACATTAGATAACATATAAGAAAGGTAAATGCTAGTAAAACCTTGCAAACACAATTATAACAGCTGAAAAAATAAATATACCTGCACTAAGAACATTGACCTTGGAGGGATTTTCATATAATGTCCGAGCTCGAAATTGCTAAGGAACGAAACAGCTTGAGCCATGCTTATGTAGCTATAGGTTTTGAAGCATACATTTCCAATTGGTCTTCCAGGGTAAGCGTTTATGTGCCGGAGACTGTCGGATGTGTGGTGGTTGATAGTGAAGGAAGGTGTGCCGCTGCCACATCAATTGGTGGTTTAATGAACAAAATGAGTGGTCGAATCGGTGATTCACCACTGATAGGTGCTGGCACAATTCAAAGTTGTCACTGGCTTCCTGCGAGAATATGTTTGTGTGTATTCCAACCCTTCACGCCAAACGGTTACCTCTAATACCTGTGGAGTTAGACAACAAAGAGAGTCTTTAGAAAACACTAATAATTAACTGAAACAAGGAACGGAACCTCAGACTGAAAACAAATATAAATGCGATGGCATTAATTTTTACCATCTAAATATATGATATATGATATATGAAGGATTTGAGTATGTGTCAAGATGTCTTATAATGTAAGTCGTGCATCAAATTTGATATTCGAAGCTTCTGAAATATGATATATGATATAAAGAAGGTGAGTGTTTACTCTAGATTCCAGATTCAAAACCTGCGCCCACATAATTAAGAGAATGTGTGTACTAATCACTATTCTATTCCATACATGTCATTATTATTATCTCTAAGGTGTATTACTAAGGTGTATTATCATCTATTCAAAACCTACACAACACAAAAATAATAAACGTAAGCAATTTAATCATAAAACAAAACCGTGAACCCGACTTAAGTTCAACAACCCAAACATTGCTTTCCTTTCTTGTTTTGATTTTGGTTCCATGTACTTTTATCCCAAAGATGCGCTTCATAATGACCTGTCCATCTATGCCTAATACATAATTCACGAAATTCAATCAAACTGACATTCATAATCAATAAACATGGAATTTTCATCAATCAATTTCAATTTCCAGCTCATTCAAACAAATTCAAAACAAAAGCTCCTAAGAGATTTCCACGTGAATCACATAGTCAAGACAACTCAAATTGCATTGCATTACTTAACAGAATTTCAAACATGAGTATGCATCATAACTAAACTCATATTGCTCGATTCATAATAACACACATAAAATAGCTCACATCTCAATTTCCAACTCAGATTCAAATTGCCACAGATTTTCCACGTGAAAAAATTCAAATAAAACTCATAACAACATCTCAATTCTAGATTCACAATTAATTTAAGAATTGCATTTCATCAAAATTCATTAACAACATTGCAAATAATCGTTAATTCCCAACTAACTAATTAAACTTCTCAAAGGTTTCTTATTCTGCATCCTAAAACAGACAGTTACTTGAGCTTATTGAGCATCACTTTTTTATCAATAGTAAGCGGAAATACATAAATCTTATATCACTGTGTTGAGTGAGCATGCCAAGCTAACTTCATTAACCGATACTAACATTCATAACAAAGTGGCAACATCACACCTACAATTGCATCTCATAACAAATTAAAACTCACGCTCAATTAAATTACATTCACAAGCTCATTTTCCAGCTCAGCGAAATTCAAATTGCTCACCACAAATAAAAACTCAAATTGCATTTAACTCAACCGTTTTTTCAATTTTTAGCTAGAATTGCACATTACGGAAAAAACAAGATATAAAAACAAATGAAAAGTATTATTAACTTCCATGAAGTGTGCGATGAACAGCGAGGAACTCAAATGGGTGTTTGCAAATTCTATGCCCCAAATTCTAAAACATGTTAACAATTATAGTCAGAACAGAACTTCCAGACACCAATGACAATGAATATGACGGTTTAAGCAATCAATCAACGGTAAAGGAATACAAAGTAACTAAAATAAAGATTAAAGAATAAACAATGTACAAATAAAACACAAACCAGTACAATAAAGGAAATCAAACGAACCTGATCTGCAACAACATCGACAAGCTCCAACTCACGATCTCGCCACTTTCTAGCACTATCAGTAGAGAGAATGAGAACCATTATTACAAAGCTTTTTGCTGAAAGATCAGGAAAATCATTAATTTGGAAATTTGACAAATGCAAAAGTGGCATCCAAACAGCAACAACTTCAGGTGGCACATACCTTCCAACAAGAGGTCTTATTCTAGCAAGCGGACAAGTATATGATAGTTGCATAGTTCTCGAGCTATTAATAACTTCATTGACAATAGGAAGGTTTGTTGGCACAGTAGATCCAACTTGTACATTATAAGTTAAAGTATGAGAAAGTTGCAGATTACGAACACTTTTAAACGATTTTACAGTCCCTTCATGTCTAAGTGCTTTATATCATGAAACATCAAACATAAAGTTAAAACCAAAGAGGACAATTACCAATTTTCCAGTTCTAAAAAAATAGCAGTAACTTATAAGTTACTAACCAACTAATTAGATATAACCTGTGAAACTTTAATTCAACAGCATGGAAGAATCTAGTACAGAACCTATGTCAAACATTTCATGTGCACTTTACATTTTTAGTATCTTCCAAGTGAAATATCAACAAAATTAAGCATAACAATAAATAACAACAGGAGTCTTGTATCATGATTTTTAATGCTTCCAGCCATATTAATCATAGCATGACAACAGTATGAACTCATAAGGCTATTTATCAAATAAAGATTATATAAATTCTTAGGGTGGGTTGTGAAATATACTTCAAAGATGAGAAGATACTTTTAGATGTTAATACACACAGAAAACTATAAATAAATTTTATAATATTTCAATTACAGCCTAGCATGATATATTATTACCTCACTAGTTGTGAATGAACACCGAGAAGAAAGTTTCTCCTCCTAAATTGTGTCGCATGATTCTGCCATGATAACACAGCAAGTGATGTCCAACCTGTAAATGGATGTGCACCTTTTCCATTTCCGTTAATCTGATTGTACTGCTCCCACAAAAATCTAGTCTGTTGATAGTTTCGCACTATATTTCTGCAGTATCAAACAATACCTAATTAAATTGCTTCTCAATTATTTGTACATGGCTTTAGCTCTATCCTAATATGGCGCATTCTCAGCAAGATTCAACTTAAACATCTGAAACAACTACTCTGTGGCTCTTCCCACTCCAGCTTGAACAATTTTGTATCTACCAAGTGAAATATCAACAAAATTAAGCATAACAATAAATAACAACAACAGGAGAAAGAACAAAATGCAAAACATGAGAGGGAGGTGCGTTGGTATGGAAATCACTTGAGCCAAAACCAAGCCCATCATTCCCTCTAGCTCACCATACACGAGTAAACAAACAAAAAAATGAATCTCAAACGGGCCCTAAGCCCAAGCCACAAATCCAAACAGATCAGTGACTCCACGTATAACAAAACACACGTAATGGAATCAGATTCTCAACAACAACATCATCATCCTTCTTCTTTCAAAACCACACACGATGAAGATAAAAAGCCATGGGAAATTCAGAAAAGAGAAAAACGAGACAACCATCAACACCAATCAATTCATTGCAACCTTCTCTCTCGTTCAACAAATTGATCCATCATGATGGATTTTACTTCAGTTCGGGCGTCATCTCTGCTTCAGGTTTGTGATGATTTGAGATCTTGCTTTATTCCTCCATCTTCTCCTTCTAATTACGTTTCTGTTTTTTGTGGTTTGTATGGAAGATTTTGAGTTGGGTTTCAGGATTTATGTTGGAATGATGTGTCGAAGGGATTTGGTGAAGAAGATTTGGAGAGTTATTGAAGGGGGAATGACGAAGATTCACAATTTTGTGGAGGGAGTTTCTTATCACCTTCTCTATCCGAGATACATGATATTTTTCACGTACACTATTACAAAAAAGCTATTTAATAGCGTTTTTTTTGCTTTTTGATAGCGCTTAAAAGCGCTATTAACCAAGTCGCTATTGTAAAACAAAATTTTTGATAGCGCTTTAAAAGCGCTATTATAGTACTGGTAATTAATAGCGTTTTTCCAAAAGCGCTATTATAGTACCGGTATTTAATAGCATTTTTTCAAAAACGCTATTATAAGACACATATTAGATAGCACTTTCAAACAAAGCGCTATTATAGTACCGGTAATTTGCTTTGATTTTGATAGCACTTTCAAACAAAGCGCTATTATAAGACACATATTAGATAGCACTTTTCCATAAAAGTGCTATTATAGTACATATCATTAATAACACTCTCTCTTCAAAACGCTATTGTAGTACACTTTTTTTTTACACAAAATCATTCTTTTGGTATATATATGACATTTGCATTTTACGACATTAGAATTCATAAAATAATAATGACTAAGCAGCTAAAATATTTAAAAATAAAATAATAATGACAAATGTGATACCATATATATCTATACCAAGTGGTTATCTTAACCTATACAAGACCATATATATGTATAAAATGTGACTCCACTTATATAGAACTATAATAAACAAAAGTGCTATAAGTTTGTAAAAAAATATAATGGCAAGTATTTTCCTAAACATGTTATAAACAGGTAGATATTCAGTTTAATGAAGATTGACTGAGGAAAAGTAATAAGCTTCATCAGTGACTTTGAAGCCAATCCTGGATGGCGGAGCGAAGAGCGCGGTTGGGGACAAGACTCTGATGTGCAAGGGTGCTGTTTGTCATTGGTGAAGTGTCGTGACCACTGTCGAGCCATCCTCGGATAGCCTCGGCTTCGTAGGTAAAACCGTCTGCAGCTACGTGTGGATCTCGCATGACTTCCTGCATAAGTATTAAAGATCATGATCATAGGAAATTTTGTTAGATGATTATATCCTCAAGTGTGTGTCCGAAACAGACATCAACGCTTGTAATTGCGTTTGATTTTTTCCAGTGTAGACAACAGTGTCGGTGTCGTGTGTATAAGCTTATACAAACAAATCAAAGTATTTTACATGAGCTGCAATTGGAAAACAAACCTGGAAGATTGAACAAATAAAATATGAAGGAGGTTGGTGTTTAAACAATGTTGCGGATAGCAAGAGTCGCCACCGACTTTTATTTTATCCATAAGGAAAGGTTATAAAAGAACAGGAAAGACCTTAGAGAATATTTTGGGTCCGGGGGGTAGGTTATGAAAAGGGAAGGTGTTAGCACCCTTTTCATCCATGGTTATCCATGGGCTCTTAGGTACTTAAGCTCACTTTTGAATTGTTTTGAAAGTGTAGTGTGTGAATAGAAAATTTTCAGAATAGTTAATAAATAATCCATGTAAGGATGTGTTAAGAACTTGTTTGAAAACTTGTTGAAAATTTGTTTAAGTGTGAAACAGTTTTGAAGTGAGCAAGCACCTAGGAGTAACCTACCCTAATGTTTAAAGGTCTTTCTTATTCTTTATTCTTTCCTTTAGTAAGACTATCCCTACTATAATGGAGTAGGTAGTCCTTACTTTGGATGTTAAGGGACATGTGAGGGACAATTGGATTTTTGAAGGTCATTGCGGGATGTAATAAGCACATATAAGGGACCATCATCATTTTTCGAAAGGGACTTGATTCGTAAAGGCAACCATAAGGGACTTTGATGATTTTTTTATTTGAGGGACTTGCTTTATACACCCCACTTAACCATTATTCGTAGGCAACTTGAGGGATATCCTTAGGAAGTGAGACGGCGATTAAAATTGACTTACGTGTGTGACGTGTTTATTTTAATTATCTTTATTTAAAAGTGATCTAAATTTATTTTAATATTACATACATGTTATTACACTCCCTAATTACTAACCATAATAATAATTAAATAATTAAACAACTTTACATCCAAGAAACAATTACAAAATAATAAGCAAAATAATTAAATAGCAAAGATAAATAAAATATAAATAAGCAATAATAAATAATAAAGGGGGTTAATTCTAAGTTTACTCGGCAAGACATCGCATCTTGTGCCTACGTATCCTTACGGGAGTGGAATCAGAGTAATCGTAGTTCCCCTCAATAGGGAGGTTAGAAACTTTTTGACTGTGGTCAAGGTCTCAAGGGGAATAAACGCATCTTAAGGACACGCTTACGTGGAGTGTAGAAACTCCAAATCTCTACGTTGAAATGTTAAGTTGTAATTAGGGTTAAATTAGGGATTCCACGGCGGGAAACCCTAAAATGAGCGCGGCGGCTCTTTGACCTAATGCTAAGGGTAAAATTGTAATTTTGCCTGCGGCGAGGCATTTGTGAAAATTAGGGTTTGTAGTTTGTAGTTTTGAGGATTTGAAATTGAATGTGTGAAGTTTTACGGACTATTGGCGCGGCGGCCAAACAGTTAGACCTAACCTTCGGATGTGTGTAATGTGACAGAAATAATAGTAAACGCGTGAGATAATTGAATCATGCAAACAGAGAGATAATGTCATAATTTAAACCATGCAAGCAGAAATTTAAAGGCAGAATTTAAAGAGCGATTGTTAAGTTCGCGAGGTTACATGAGAGGAGCAGATACAATATGATAATGAAATTTGAATTGAACAATAATAAAATAAAATAAATAACGGTTCTAGTTATTATTTTAAAAAAAAAGATTTTAGTTATTATTTTAAATTTATCTAAAAAAAAGTTTTTCTTAAAAATAATAGGTTTTCATATTAATTTGGAAAAGATGTTAATGTTATTTATTTTAAAAAACAGATTTTTATATTATAACAAATTTTAATAAATTAATGATAACAATAATAATAATAATGGTAATAATAATGATAATAATGATAATAATAATAAATAATGATAATAATAATAATAATAATAATAATAATAATAATAATAATAATAATAATAATAATAATAATAAAGCAATAATGAATTTTAAATGTGCCAAATAACCCAACAATGTTGCTAACGCAGAAATGCGCTCATCGCAACCAGATCTAAATCGGACGAAACAAAATTTATCGCAAAGAAAAAGAAATTAAGCAAAAAATAGTATTATTGCTCACACAAAAATGCGATCATCGCAACCAGATCGAACTAACACAAATGTCACGCGTCATGCACACAAATGTGCAAACATCGTATCGACATAATTCGATCAAAAATCTTATATATATATAAACTCTAACAATTTAAAAATTATATATATATAAACGTAACAGTAATAGATAAAGAAAAAGAAATAACGGTAATAGATGAAGAAAAAGAAATAACGGTAAAAG